CCTAGATCCGCCTATGATATGTTCGGTACAGTTTTGAAAAGATAGAGTTTACAAATCCAAGGTGATAAAAGTTACCATACCACTATTTTGTTGGAAAATTCAATTGAAGTTCTGGCTGGTTACTATCATGGGTTGAAACTTTCTAACATAAATGCACTATATCGTGAAAGTGTACTTATCAGTAGAGTAATGACTTTCTTTTTATTTCTTCGCTTATCAAGTTATTTCAACCTGTCTGAGCTTCCCCCTCAATGTGTCCCAGTCGTCTGGACTTTGTGTTTTGTTGAATTAGTTTCTTTGTTTTATTATTTATTTGTATTTATTTATATATCTTCGTTGCAATGCATTTACAAAAGAACCTGATTTGCTTTCTCAATGTCCCAATTCATGAGGTGGTCAACAGCAGAGCTAATTACCTTCTTAAAATCATCAAAATCTCCAAGGTTTCCCCATGTTCCTTATGCCTCTTTTTTCTATGTAGGCTTACAGATTGAAGCCAAAAACTCTTTGAAGGCTTGGATTTTCGTGTCTGATGAATTTGTTTCTTATTTCAAGACCGATATTTGGAAGAATATATTCCAGTTGAGGAGATGGGCTATTTTTCGCTTTCTTTTGCCTGTCCTTTGACAAATATCGCGTGCCTTTGAATTGATTACTTTTAGATCCATCATACTGCTAATCGTTTTTCTATTCAGCTTTCTTAGCATGAACTTGTTTTCCGGAAAGGCTTTCCTGGTACTTCACACAAAACAAAAACATGGTTAGGAATCTCATACGCACTTACTTCCGTTGTTGAAACGGTCAGACCCTTGCACTCTGAACAACATGCCAGTGTTTCTAGCCCTCTCGCAAAACCGTCTTTTATGGTTGACTTAGGCCAATTTCAATGAAAAAGTGTGTCTCAAAACTGCTTCTCATATCCCAGGTCGCTTCCATGAAGGCTACTCAAGACAGTGTGATTACTGTTTTCTTTTTCTAATGCTCTCTTTGATGTCGATCCAAGTCTTCTTCTCTCAACTTGCTCGAAAAGCTGTTCTTAGGTTTTTTTTCATTTTTCTTCTAGGAAGCGATCAACTTCTATCGATTTTTCTTCAGGATCTCTTCTCACACAGATACCGGAATACCGGAAAAAAACAACGTAAAACTCTTTGGTTGGATACCATGATTCTTTGTTTGATTTAGGTCAAGAATGCATCAATCTGATGCAACTTAACAAACTGATCGGTCTCAGCGCTAAATCATACTCTTACTCTTTCTCTAAAGCATTCTGATCCCTTTTGAGATCCTTCCACGTACCTCCTTCTATAAGGAGTTTCGTCCTGCCTGCAATCCTGAGTTAGTTACGGCCCTATCCGGTCTCTTCGCATCTTAACAGCTAAGTCCAACGGGGCCCATGTTCCACAATTTTGGATTAACTTTTACCTATGGGCAAAAACCTCGCCAACCAATCGGTCTTCCAATTTGCTGTTGAATACAATAGGTACAAAGCCAGGTACTTAATCCCTCTGCACATTTTTGCTTCCATAAGTTTAGCTTTGAGTAATCCAAGTTCACGCAGTGGTTTTTGATGAGCCTGCTCTCTAAAGTCAAGGATGACATATGCGACCGCTTGTCTGTAAAAAAAATGTCAAGAGCTCCATTTTTCTGAAAAAGACATCAAATTTAATTCCACATCGGGTTCAAGTCCGCTGATTACGGCGGTTCTACGCATCATTTCAGCTACGCATTGTTAATCCTTGATTTTTCTGTTCCAGTAAAAGATATATTTTCAATGTTTTTACGGTAGGGATTCTCGAGCTGCTGGTTAACTTTTCTTTTTATGGTCCCTATCAACTGCTCTGGGTACATCAGCGAAAGAACCAGTAAGCCAGCCGACCATAAAATTTTTAAAGTTATTCAGCAGCCCATCCAGTCTCAAGTTTGAACATCGTCTGATAGGAGGAAGACGGGTTCTTGTACGCAAATTTCAACTACATATATCACATCTAGTAAGTCAGTAGAAGTATAAAAGTCCAATAAATCAGTGGTTGAATCATCTCATACAATTTTTGATCATTTGGCACGATGCATGAGGAAATCTGAGGACAGCGAAAAGATGAAGGAGGGCTCCCAGCCAACAGTCGTTTCGAGTGCACTACTAATGACCAGCTTGTCCAGCGAGAACTGGTCCAGGAACAGCCGACTCAATTCTTGCATAAGCAGCAGCAGTTTGGCACTCTTATTTTTCTCACGTCCAATAATTTTGTTTCAATGAAGTACCTATTTCTCTGAGCATCGCAGTTGCATGATTGAGCTCATCATCGCACAGTGAGCTCGATCTAGGTGACGAATTTAAAAAGATATTATATCGCCATCACTTCCGAAAGTCCGAAATCGTCATTATTTGATATCACATTGCACCTAAATTAGTGATAATGCTGACACTCTCTTTTGACATGATTAGTATTACCTCACGTTTTTGCCAGTACGAAATGATGTGTTGGATATCCACCTTAGCAAATATAAAACATCCAAACTGCATCCATAAAGAATTTCACTCCAGAACCAATATTTCGATGGGCTGACTCAATCACATAGGCTCTGAATATAGTCATTGGTCCCAGAGATTGCTACTTTTTCTGAGTCCACGTTTGTGAGCATCTTCCTTTTCCAAACTCTATCCATCGAATTGGAATGCGCCTATTGGAATCGTGTCAAATTAGGCGAGGAAGCCATCGTCATTGTCAAATCTTGCTCCGTTCGTCAATGCTTTCGATAGAAGTGATGGGAGGTTAACTACAATCAACAATATATTACCAAGGTCGTTGTGATCTTCCACGTTAAAGGCCTAACTTCATCCTGGGTTGCTTGCGCTTTATCATAGTGGTTTTCCAGCAAGCGTTGTTGGTATTCAAAGAGTCACTTTCTGGATTTCTTTCTCCGGTTTTTGGGTAAAGGCACACGACAAAATGATCAGTTTAAACTTGTCTAAAAACTTTTTGAACAAGCTCACCTTCAGGGGCGGCTCCCACTGTGTATATTGTGTCACAATTATGCTTATAGTGTTGTTCCTGCCAACAAAGCTCACTGCAATGTTTTTCCCACAAATATCGAGTTCCCTAATCTAAATAAAGGGAATTTGGGGCTCTGGCAAAGATGAGTATCGTCACATGCCAGCCCGTACTTTTATAAAATAAGATAAAATTTTTTTGAGGAAAATTCAATAAATTAGCTCGGGAATCGATTTAATTGTGCTCTATCAGTTAGAAAATGGCCCGTACGAAAAGCGCTCCCCTATCAGAAATCATCATGTCAACGTAACTCAATCTCATTTACATGTCGCTTCGCGGGATTATCTCTTTATGGTCTGTTTATTTCTTTAAGATTAGAGTTTTTCGGAATAAATCTATGAATGACTATTTTGTTAGACTATTTTATTTTGAATGACAAGGAAAAATTTTGGTAAAATTCTATCAATAACTATACATAGATAAATACAAATCTTAAACCTTTAAATTCAACATGCATTGACTTTCAACATACATGAGGCAGATTGAACACAATTATTACGCTAAAGTGTCAACCTCGGGATGCCTGTCCCGAACATGACGCGTGCAATTAAATCCACAAAGCTAGACTTAGTACAACTATAGCTAAACGATATACGTTGTGCCGTGCCACACTTAGCGCTATACATCTGCAAAAAACTTACAAAGTGTTTTAGGACATGTTAAGCTACAATTATTTTCACAGCTTCAAAGTTCGTTTTAAAATTTTTAGAAATAGAACTTTGGTGTACTCTTCGCCCTTAATACTGGTGAGCTATCCAATTGTCCTTCTGAAAGAAGGATTGAACTGTCCAGGGAAGATAAATTTGGGGTCCTTTCCTCTACGGCTTTGATCGATCGTCTGATTGGGCTGCCGAAAAGAACTGAATCTTGTGATAGTTTCGTCCAGATGACCTTAATGTCGCTGAAAAGTTGTCGTTTTGGTCGCCTCTCGGCTGAACTGGTGGCTCCGCTGACAACATGTGTGATCCGACGCTGAGGCAATTGGCTTTGCATCGTGGTATTCAGGAATTCTCTTCACCAAATTCGGACAATGTGAGTGTTTTGGATGTGAACAGGATTGGAACTCGGCTTCGGATATAATTGGGATGAAGTCGTCTGATTTCTTATACAGGTTGGAGTGTTCGGGCGTTCTGAACATTTAACCACTTTTTTTCACGGAACCAGGATGTTCAAGCAAGGTTGGAATCAACTATCCTTAGCTGGACAAAAAAACCACCAAATCGACTATTTTGGCTGCTTTGCCTGTTTCTTTTTTTCCTCCGTATTTTTGAGCTGTTCGTCTGGAAATGATGGGCCGCTCTGGAAAATTTTGGGAGCGAACATTTGGAGTTTGGCGCAATACGTGGGTCGTCATCTGAGGACGAGAAAGATGGCGGCTGGTGGGTCCTTTTGATGGAGGTCATTTGGCCTGCGATGAAATGGAGGGAGAAAATTTGCCTAAAAAACTAGAACTGTTAACTGATTTAATCTGAAAGATATATGGTTCTTCCGAATAACTTTCCCCCTTGTTGTGTTTGCTGTGTTAATTAGATAGTTTGTTCGTAAAACTTTTAAAAATAGGCTTTCCAATTTCGCGATCTAAAAACTTCCAGAAAACTTCGACCCCCTTGGGTTTCGATCGAAAAATATCCTCAGTCATTTTCTGTCTGATATTGGACTGGCGCAATGCATTTGTAATTCTCCAGTTGCTGAGCTTAGATCAAGTAGAAGTTTTAAAAACTAAAGCGACTAAAAGGCTTTATTTTTTTACCAAAAATTGGTGCATTGGATACTGCAGGTATCGATAATGTTCTTGTGAATTTCAGGCCACCAGATGTGTTGGGCGGCGTCTATTGTGGCATCTGGGACGGAGAAATCTTTATTTCAGATAGCCAACACTACTCGCTCGAGGCATTATGGTTTTGCGAAACGGTTGTAGATCACAAGAATTCGAGAATGACCTCAACAGAGTTACGGTTTTTTTGTAGGAGTTGATCCTGTTTATTCAATCTTAATCTGCCGCACTTTTTGCTCATCTAATGACTTTTTACAGTGGATCCTCTGAATTAACTTCGGCATGGACATCTGGGTCAAATTTTCTGTCAAAACCTGGTGTGGTTTTCTGTCCTCCGATATTGCAGACTTATGTTTTGCCGATTTCTTCAAGACTGAGTGACACTAAGCATATTTCGCTGAACGTAGTGTGAAAAGAAAAGTCGCGTACTTCTGGCGGAAGTAGATAACCTTTGGTTCAATTGCTTTCGTTTTGACATCTTCCTGATGGTACCCGCACCTGGGGTCTGAATGGACTGAGAACTAGATCGGAAACTATGTTTAGTAAACGCTAAAAATTTTCATCAAGGTGTGGATGTCGAGTTTGATCGAGCTACTCCTTAATAAAAACTACTCTTGAAAAAAATTTTGGATTTCAGTTTTTTTCTGATGAATAAACTATCCCTGTAAGACATGATGAGTAACTTCGTATTTAATGAGTGATTAAATTCCTGAAATTGCAAAAATTATTCCGATTGTTTGAAAAGCCCGGTTCATAAATCGATGCCATCTAGTTGAGATGATGATCCAATAAATCTGAACTCAAAAAGATAATGACTGAATATTGGAATTTTAATGTCCTCTTGTGTACTGATGCCAAAAGAAAGGCTGCAACTGAATTGCTTCATGCTTTTTTAAAAATTCGGTTGCCCTCATGCGGAGAGGTTCTAGTTTAAAAAACTAAATCTTATTGCAGGAATTCCAACGCCCTCTTGAAAATCTTTACGAAAATCAACACACGAATATGATTGGTTAAAACAAGATGATGTGAATAATGTGCCCTCTTGCTGAGAAACGTTGGTAAGATTGGTTAAAAATATTGACTGCTCTGGTTTTATGGTTTATCTGAATTCTCTCTAATATAATTGAGATTGGAAAAGCGAACTAAAAAAACTGGAGTTTTCGGGTTGGTTCAGTCGCAAAAAATGTGATGATAGACAAAAAAAATAGCTTGATGGTAAACATTGCTTGTTTTGTTTGATTCAACAGACCGTTCGAATGATGCTAATTTTTCTATCATATCGCAACTTTCAAAGTAATTCTCGAGAGATTTAATCACAAATTACTCGAGTAGTCTACAAGGTCAAATGCCAATTGGGAGACTGTTATACGATTTACGATAAAAACCGAATAGAAAAGTCTGTCGGCTCATCTAGTGATACTCGTTTGTTAATTTTTGTTTCCGCGGTTGGCTTTACGAGCCAATAGCAAAGCTCTAAGCTCTATGTTTGGTTAAGACATCAGTTTGGTTGCTCAACAATTTTTTCCTAAAATGTTTGCAATGCCATACAATTTCTAAAAGTATGAGCTAGTTAGTGCTTAATTTGAGTTCTTGTTTCTTTAAGAACCTGGAGCTGAACTATATGGGTACCCAGGATTCATCTTTGAGTTCCTACTTAAAAATGGCACCCAATGCACTATGACTAGGGTCACACTTGATCTTGACTTCCATTCTTGGGTCACAGTGGCAAACTTTGACAATCCCGGATTTTGATTTCATCGTATCTTCAAAAGGAGATTGTTGGTCAGTACTTTAAAGATGTCCAAATAGATATGTTTATCTATGAAGAATTGGAAGGAGTTTCTGCAAACTATTTAATATCCACAAGTACCTTAACTGTTTTAGAGTTCTGAGTTCTTTTAAATAAAGAACTGCTAGTACTTTAGATAGTTTAGATTTGTAGCCTTAGTCGTCAACGTCGAAACCCAACTATGATAACTTATTTACAGCAAACTCATGTTTTGACAGTTTTGGGCAAAACCTTCTTTATCAAGCCGTGATAAGTTGGAATCGACCGTCGAATTGTGCTCTGATAAAAGAACTTTGAAACAGTTCAAATATCATCTTGGAATATCATCTTGAAAAACTAATACAACGCGAATATTTTGAATCGTTTTCCCATTACCTTCTGAAATTCTGTCGACATTTCAAAAGAGCGTTGAAAGCCGGTTTAACTTGATAGATTCTTGTACCGGTAACGATGTTAAAAATGCAATGGCTGCTGACGAGGTGGCTGAGTTGGTGTTGGCTAAAACCGTATTTGAGATCTAAACATGTGAATCAGATTTTGCCGGTTGTTTATGATTTATTGATTTGGGACTCTATTTCTTCTTGTTCTTGGGAACAGATTTGACATTTGGTGCTGAGTCCTTAAAAAATTCAGCATCATTAGGCTTTGCGTCTATGGATAATTTCACAGAACCGTCTTTCTTTGGTTGTAACTACTACTGGCGGTACAAATTGATCGCTTGTAACTGAACTGAGTCTTACCAAATCAGCATCTTTCATCAGCTAGTACTTTCATCGCCCACGTTCTGCTGGATGTTAATCGGCACACGTCTAAGCTTTTTTTTTGAATTGGTATAAGAGGTTCGTTGTAGGCCGATTGTACTCTGTGAGTTTGGATCTGCCTCAGAGGGAAAACAAACTCGCTGTGTTTTCTCAGGTGCTTATCTCAATAGAGGTCAGAGTTGAGTTGTTTGAACCACCAGTAAAGTTTGGATGTTTAGGGCAAAGAGACACCTATTTCGGTTTTCCGTTACCGTTCAAGTTGCGCTCTATATTGAACAACTCAATAAAGAAAAATGTAGAAAAAGAGTTCCATGATGAAGGATAAGTTTCTGGATATAAACCACATAGAAGGTATTGATGGACGATTCTGAGATAAGGATCAACGGGCATATCTCATCCACTTGACTGAAACATCTGTTGTCCTTTTATTCATAAAAAAATCAGTCGGCCTGTGTCGAAAGTGGCTTTATAATCGGAGTTGATAGCTCTTAAGGAAATTTGAAATCCTTATTCCAACAAGTGGTTGTATTGATAACCTGTTTCTTCTTAATTGAGTTCAGTTTAGTGATTATTGCGATCTTCAACTGTCCTGGTAACTTCAACACATTTGGGTTTCGATAAAAATTATCCTCGATTTTTGATGTAATTTTCACAGTTTGTTAACTGATCGGATGGGACGGGAAGTGAAGGTTCGCAGATGACAATTTAATTCTTAAGGATGCGGCTAAAATCATATTGATATGGCCTTTACAGCTAAGGCTCACTAGTATATGGAAATTGAAAACTTTTTGGGTCATCCAATCATACGCGGATTTAACCAGAGATTCTAGTAAATTGACTAAAGATGAAGATTCCTTTTTGAACTGAGGTCTCAGTTCTCAGCTTTTGTTTCTCTCTTGTTCAAGAATCTGAGTATTAGCCGGCTTTTGTAATGATCGAGGCGTTGCTCTGCGTTTGAGGCATCTCTGACCAAGTGCTCTTTATCTAAATCAATTTTTATTGTTAGATTATCTAAGGCCAAAGACCATTGAGTTTTTTTAATTTTTTCTTTTGATCTGATACAATCAATAATCGTTTTGAGTGTATCCTGAGTATCTGATGGGATATCTGCCAATTGCAGTGCGTCCCCAATTAACAATTTACAATCCTGCCCCCCATTTGCGTCCCTCATCTGCGTTGCGTCCCACCCATTTTTGTGTGCACCTACCGAACAGAAAATCTGTTTGACGCCACTCTTGTTGCAAAAATTTAATACTAACACTTTTCGAATTGCAAATATTGGTCAGTTCTATTAAATTTGAGATATGGATAACGAAGTATGAATACCGATTTGGACCAGTATCCTTTTGTGTCTAATAATGGACCGGCGTAACCCAGCTGTAATTCTTCAACGCTGAGATTGTATCAAGTAGAAATTTTCAATCTGTTTTACAAAAATTGTGGTGGATACAACCTTTGCAGGTGCCCATATTGTCCCTTTGAGTTCTGGGTCACCTCTGACTTAAAATCCTGATGTAGGGGTCATTCCCCCAAAAAAACTTCGTAATCTTTTGCATCTGCTGCTTGTCTCATGGATTTAACTTTTAGGATCTTCGTTTAAGAAAGTTAAACTAAGACATCTGGGTCGAGAATGCCGGTCAAATCCGGGAGCATCTCCCTGTCATCCGATAGACAGGCTAATGTTTCGCCAAAAACTTAGTGATGTACGCCATTTCTCGCTTATCTCGCCAAAATTATCTACTTTTGTGGTTTTGAAGTTTGAGAGAAAAAACATTTGACAATAGGAAAGAAAGAAAAACACAAGCAGTTTGATATCTTACAATTATGTATGTTATTGCCCATTTGAAAAAAAATACATTTCAAGTTTCCTAGATTTTTTATGTCTGGACGAACGATGCTGTTTTGAAAAAGGCTTCTTAGTTACACAAATAAAGCCATGTTACCATGATAATACTTTACACTAGCTTTCCGCAAAGAAGAAACATATTTAAAGGTTTTTATCGTTTTGATTTTAAACAGCAGCTCAACTTCGTACAAAGAGCTACAACCCAAAATATTGACTCGTAATTAGATTCAGAAATCTGACAACATTTTTGCTCTCAATAGTTTTATGAACTAATTACACAAATGGGTTTATAAAAAGACAATATAATGAAAACGAAATCATGAAAGACAGCAACAAAATAAGTATTTGCAGATGAGTACGCCCACGAAAATAACGGAATTTTTAACACCACTAGAAACATACATTTGTAAGTAGACCTAAAACCGTTCATAGGGTGTTTCATCTTCAACAAAATTCTTAAAAACTAATGATACGATCTGTTTATGGAGTAGCAAAACTTCGAGTTGCTTAACTTTAAAGCGAAAGCGAAAACAATCGCAAAGCTAACAAAAATTTTATTAGTTTAAGTGGTAATTTGGTATAAGAATTTACTTGGACTTATCGCATCTCCAGAAGGGTTAATATCTTTGGCCGACTGTTTCGATAAAAACAATAGAAAAAACTTTTTCGTAGATTATTTTCTTAGTTGCTCGATCTCACAAATTTGCTATTTCAAGAAGAATGAGGGAGTTAGATATGTCTGTTAGCAAAAATGTATGTTTCTTCTTTTCACTCACGAGTTTCAAAAAAAATCAAGTAATAAATGTTCTCAAATGTCATTCCATCCACGCTTGAATTAACATGCTGGCTCAAAAATCTAAAACAAAAACTGACAAACCCTTTGTTTCAAAACGATTTAAAAAAAAATATGCTATTTAATAACAGAAAAAGTGTCAGGACTGATCAAATAACTTGGCAAAAAACATCGCACAGTTGGTATAAAAACCT